AGCACCTGGAATTCCCAAACAGTCACCCATCTAGATACTGACCACGCTTGACATTGCTTAACTTCGGTAATCGTACGAGACTCGTTGTTTCAACGTGTTGTAGCCGTAAGCCCTTTATACCACTTCAACATCCAAGTTTACAACACCTGTTATTCACAAATATTCACCCATCTAGGTAATGACCACTCTCGACTTTGCTTAACTTCAGTAACCTTACGAGAACCGGCGTTTCAACGTGGTAAGTTTCCTAATAGACAGATAGATAGAAATCGAACATCGATAGATAGATAGATAGATAGATAGATAGATAGATAGATAGATATCCGATGAAATGAGGACGAAAATAATATACCAATTCTAACGTTCACAGAATTAATCCAAAAGAGGGCTCAATAGCGATAGTAAAGCAATAATTATTTATTATATTTTTTTTCATATAGACAAAACCATCTTACTCACTACAAAGATGCAATTTTGTTTCTCACCAGTCGATGTGCAATTGAAATGCACCGAAACGAAGTTGCATCTTTGTAGTGAGTAAATGTTTTTGTCTTTATGAAAAAATTATAATGGATAGATAGATACATAATCAAAGTTGAATAATGCCTTATAAACGCAAATATTTTTCAGACTCTCGAAATATACATATCTCTTCAGTTTCGTAGCTTAACGTAAAAAAGCAGTTTCTAAAGAAGTAATGGATAATTTTTATTAATTACATAAATGTTATTAAACGTTATTTTTAGTGGAGTACCGTCCGGCTTTGTGGTTGAAATGGTCTAAATCGCCTCGAATATAACGAATGTTTCCTAGGTAGAAATAATAATATTTCTCGAATATTCAGGCCGGTAGAAGAAAATAAATAAGTAAATATACTGTTTAATAAACTCGAATATGGGCATCTATTAAAAATAACGTCTATGTAATAAAATCTCTTGGATTAATAAATAAATAACCATCACTTATTTAGAAATTTATATATATATATATATATATATATATATATATATATATATATATATATATATATGAATAGGAGAAATGCATTGAAAACATTTTCAAGTTTCTTCAGAACCCTACTTTATATTCAATGCGAAACAATAGTCTCACAAAATATTCCCAAAACGAAAAAGCAATTACATCTAAATTATTAAAGAATTAGTCAATACTAAACAAAATAATAAGCTAAACTTGAAAGAGGACTTTACTGGATCACCTGTAATAATTGTCCAAAAACTGCACAGGAGAAACCTCAAGGAATCTAATAAAATTCATATGAACACAAAAGAGACATTTTACAAAACAATACATCAAATTCGTTGGTTGTCTACCGTAAGCAGCCTGACCATAATTTTAACATAAAAAATTGCTACTCAGATCAAAGGAGAAACAATTCACTATATCTGTTCCTTAATTCTTTATCTAATTCTTTATCTATTTATATCGTTTTTTCGTTATCTATCTCAATCTGCTCATTATCTATCTATCTATCTATCTATCTATCTATCTATCTATCTCAGTGGCTACTCCCGGGGTTAGGGTTTTCGGGCTTAGCCCGAGTTGGTCAGCATTCAAGAGCTCCTACAGAAGATAGTGAAAGAAAGCAAAAAGAAAGGACCACACATTAATTTCAAGAAGATGGAATACAGAGATGTTAGCCAAAAGAACAGCTCAACATGCAAATTACAGTGGCGACTCCGGGGCTCAGACCGAGTGAGTCAAAGTTCAGGTATATCGATTTCAAAGCAACAAAAATCTTTTGTAATGCATCATTTTAATTCTTGACTTCAGATGGATACAAAATTAATTGTTTTAATTCCGTGCCTCAAAGTATTGACCGAAATACATTTGTTGATATTGTTCATAAAAAAGAAGAAAGAAAGAAAAAGAACAAATAAAGAAAGTTTGTAAGAAAAGAATGGAATAAAATTAATGTGGCTAGTCGATCAGCTTAGATCTGAGCCCTTTCAAACTGGTTAATAATACGCAATGTATTTCTTGCTTTAATTTTATAAATAACCTTTTAAAATTCTCTAATGATTGTATGCTCTGTTTTTCAAAGAACACATTTTTATTTAAACTTATTTTTTTCAAATGTTCATTTTAAATAATATATTCCGTACAGTATAAGGTTTTTTTTTAGCACAACGTATCAAATCAAAAAGTGCAAATAAAATTTAGCCCGACTTAAGATGGCGAAAATCAAAGAATGTGGCAGCATCAACTTGTCGAATGGAGGGTGGGGTGAGGAGTGTGACAGGGGAAGTGTTGAGAAAATATATCAGTCAGCAGTGCTAATCATAAAATTAAAATAGATTAAACTAAATATTCACAGACAGAGAGGTAAATAAACACACTAACGCATAAACATATATACAAACACATACTTGAGACCTAAAATCGCCACTGATATATATATATATATATATATATATATATATATATATATATATATATATATATATATATATATATATATGTTTAATGAATTAACAGATAATATCCAAATATTTGCGGCAAACATTATCGACGCTAAAGTGTATCTAACCAATAAGAAATAAACACAGCATACCATTAATCTACGTCTCTTTGTTTTTTTTATAATTTTTTTACCATTTCCATCTTGATCTCTGACGAAGCTTGATGCGTGGATAATGTAAAACATGTTAGACTGAGATCTGTTTCCGACTTATTCTTTATCTTATTATTTTCTAGGTTTTTCCTATCCATGCTCTCTCTCTCTCTCTCTCTCTCTCTCTCTCTCTATATATATATATATATATATATATATATATATATATATATATATATATATATATATATAAAAGTGGATACTGATGGCAACAGTAGCGACAGTCTGTTTCAAAGCATCTTCGGTTCCTCCTGTTGTTCTTACTGTTTTCTATTTACACGCTCTTGTTGAACATTTTATCCATAAATATGGCATAAGTTAAAACTATATATTTTTTATATATATATATATATATATATATATATATATACGTGTGTGTATATATATATATATATGTGATATATATATATATATGATATATATATGTGATATATATATATTTATATATATATATATATATATATATATATATATCGCCCCTCACACTGTAAATTCATTTTTGCCATTGTGATTCCAATGTCGGCTGAGTTCAGTCCTGTCCCTTTTGTGCTTGATCTGTGATTTTAATGTGTGGACTTTGCGATCCTCTGGGAGCTATTTGAACTTTATGGCGGAAGGGAGGGCACTTTAATCTTAATTGCTATGCAGTATATATATATATATATATATATATATATATATATATATATATATATATATATATATATATATATGAAATGTTTGTACCATATTATCCGTAGACATCTGAATGCAGTACATACATTTGGGGGAAACAAATATTGGTACGCTTACAAATTTTTAATTTATTGTATCTCCAACTAATGAATAAACATACTTTTCATATAATTACAAAGACGCATAATAACTAAATATGCTAAGGAAATAGAAAAAGAAAATGAGTGAATAGGGATAAATCCTATTTAACCATTTTAATATGTGAAAAATTATTCATACATAAAAAAGAATACATAATCTTTATTTAATACATTGTAGAATAGCCATTATTCCCTTCTACAGCAACCAACCTATTCTTTTAGGTTTCAATTAATGATTTGCAAATTTTATTTGTCATTTTGTTCCATTCTTCTTCGCATCTGGTCTTCAGATCCGGAATGTTCTTGAAGCTCTCGAATGGATCTGAATTTCCAAATAACGCCACAGATTCTCGATTGGGTTTAAATTTGGGTACTGACTTGGCCATTACAGGATATTTATATTATTTTCAGCAAGCTATTTCTTCGCAGATTTTACAGTGTGCTTCGGATCATTATCTTGTTGGAAGATCCAGTCAAGAGGAAATTAAAGATTTTCAACTGAAATCATTAAATTTGCTTCCAAAATATTTTGATATGCCGCGGCATTCATTCTATCATATATTACTGATAGATTGCTAGTACCTTTTTGCAGAAAAACGTCCCCAAACCATGATGCTGTCACCGCCAATTTTCAATGTTGGAATTGTGTTCATTGGTTTGAAGTCATCGCCACTTTCCTCTATAAATGACTAGCAGTAGAGTCCAGCATTGCCCGGGAATGTAACAGTAAGAGATAGATCAAGTATCGACCATCATAAAGACTGAAAAATAAAATTGACAAAGATTATTGTTTAAGGTTGACGGACACGCATGTCTTAATTAGTATTTTTTTGTTTTTACGAATTGGTCAAACCCAAACGCAAACAAAAACATTGTTTTCAATCGTTATGAGTCTACCGATTGAATAGAATTTTATTATAAACAATTGTCTTGTAAATGGAATTATTAAAGCATTCTGAATGTAAAAATAAAGAAAAAAGTGTGCAAGACAATAAGAAACACTACCTGCCAAAAAAAAAGTGAAGTTTTGTTGAAATCGGTTGAAAAATGTAGGAAATGTGATCCAATATATAAACGAACACACACAAACAACCTGGGTTTTATAAGTATAACTCGACGTGACCCTTTCATTCTCGTGACGCCTCTTAATCGTGTTTTCAAATTTATTTCGTGCAAAAACAATTGTGTTTTTCTAATTTTTGGCACTGTCAGAACCACCGCAAGTTAATTTTATGCAGTCCTGTGAAGTTTTGTTGAAATCGGTTGAAAAATGTAGGAAATCCGATCCAATATATAAACGTACAGACACACACACACACACACAATCTGCGTTTTATAATAAGTAAGATTTCTAGAATTACGTCCAAACAACTCTATTTTGGTTTCGTTTATCCATACTTTTTGCCAGTACGATTTTTCCTTATGTTCAACCTGGCATCTCTGTCTTTTCAATAGCATTGGAGTTTTCCGAGGGAAGCGTAACTTTAAATAGTTCCTATGAATTTCATTGATTATTGTTCGTTTAGTGATACAGATTCCTGATGAAAGCAAATCATCCTGCAACTCTTGATGAATAACCATTGGATTCTGTTTGACACATTCATTTTTTCGAAGATCATGAAAAAAATCTTCTATAGAACACCTGTCCTTTGGTTTTCAAC